GACTGGTGCTCTCCATGGAAACTGGGCAGGTGGTGCATACCACATCTCGCTCTTCTGCCCACAGCGGTTCCTCAGTGACTATGGCTTGCAGTGGGTGGGCGAGCCCATGGACCAGGACTCAGAGGAAAAGATAGTCTCTGAAAATGATGAGCGAGACTGGATGAAGGCCAAGAAGTTCTGGAAGCCAGGTACAGTAGAGCATCTGCCCTGGCCCCCTTCCAGCAACTCCCTGTTGGCCTACCACTCTCCCAGAGGCCCTTGGTTTCCAGTCCTGGCCTATCAGTATTGGGGTGGAGGTGGGGTTGCTGAGTTATCAACACCTTGTCCCTGACCCAGGAAAGCAAGCTGAGGTCTCCCTCCTTGGTCTCACTTGGGTCTCTACCTGCTCATCTGCCAAGGACCACAGAGACCCAAACTTACTAGATATTTGATATGTTTTGTTTTGTTTTGAGACAGGGTTTCTATGTGTAACAGCCCTGGTTGTTCTGGAACTTTTTGTAGATCAGGCTGACTTTGAAATCAGAGATCCACCTGCCTCTGCCTCTAGATTGTTGGCTTCAGCCTTAAAGGTTTACAACCACTACCACCCAAGGTCACTGTCTTTAAACAAACAAACAAAAACAAAACCTCATAAACCCTGGTGTAGTAGTACACACCTGTAATCCCAGCACTTGGAAGGCTGGGTCAGGAAGATTGAGAGTTCAAGGCCAGCCTAGACTACTAGAGGTCCTGTGTTTGGTTGGCGAGGTGGGGCAGGAGGGGGTGGAGAAGGGTGAAAGCTTGCCCTCTGACTGGAAGCCCCTATCCAGTTTCCAGGGCTCAACCTCCTCCTAGGTTCCCACTGCAGGTTCATGTGTGCGTCAGGACATGGGAATCTGGTTTGATAGGCAATGATTTTCATGGGGGTTTTGTTGTTTTATTTTGTTTATTTTTTGGCGACAGAGATAGGGTTTCTCTGTAGCCCTGGCTGTCCTGGAACTCACTCTGTAGACCAGCTGGCCTCAACCATGAGATCCGCCTGCCTCTGCGTCATTTTTCATGTTTAATCACTGATATTTAGTGGGGCTCCCAACCCACCTTGTCCTTAGACTCGGGTCCAAAAAGCTGTTTCTGAAATGGGGCCCATTTTTACCTCTAAGCTTTGGAATCTAACTCAGACCCTCATTTCTACTCCACCACCTGTTCAGGGGTGGCTTGTGGCTTAGGCCAGCCACTTCCCTTCCCTGAGCCTCAAGTTCATCAACAAAATGGGGCGCACATTGTCACCCTCAGGGTTTTCCCAATAGCAAATGAGTCACATAAGGAGGCCCTTGCATGTCATGCTCTTTCCCAGCCTCCAAAGGAAACAAGTGCCCTGGGAACTGCAGCAGCATTCCCAAAGGGACTGTCTAGGTGACAACAGTGTGGCTGTCCAAGTGTCCTTTAGACAAAGACTGGATAGGGCTGAGGGCGTGGCTCAGTTGGTAAGGTGTTTATGCATTCCTGGCACCTGGTAAGCAGGGAAGGGTGATGCAAACTTGCTATCTCAACACCCAGGAGTGGCGATAGGAGGATCAGGAGTTAAAGATTGTCCGCAGCTAGGAGGCAGTTCTGAGAACAGCATGGGCTACAGGAGTCCCTATCTCAAAGAACAAACATGGGGCTAGGAAGGTAGATGACTGAGGGCTAAGATGCTTCTCCTACACTTGCTTCTGTCTCAAATTCTAGCCCCTCCGGCAGATCCCCACCACCTGGGCTGCTACTGTACATGTGCCAGCATCTTATGGGAAGGGCTCTGCTGGCATGAGGGGTTCGAAGGCTCAGGCTAGGTGTTCTGGGGACATGCCTGTCCCTGACACACTGTCTTCCACTGTGACAGCCAGGAGCATGCAGCACAGGGCTCGGCATATAGGCCAGAGTATGTGCACCTGTGCAAGAAAGGCCGCGGTGCCTGGTGTATCGCGTACTGTTCAGTCCACTGGGAGAGGGCAGTCCTAGGCTCAATAGCAGGGGTCGGATTGAGGGCTGCAGGCATTGGGACGATTGTGTCCTGGAACCACCACCACCACCACCCCCCGCCCCCCGTTTCAGAGCATCTCTCTGCTTGGGCTCTTCTGGGGAGCAGAGAACCGGCAGGTCAGTGGCCGGGCGGGGCCTGGCTTGCAGAATTGTGGTAACCATGGCTTTTCCTGATACAGGAGGCTAGGGGTGGGGGTGAGCCATGTGTCTGAGAGCACCTCCAGCTCCAAGGCAGCAACTTCGCGGCAAGCCTTCAGGGAGCCCACTGGTCATCAGTGACCCCACTGTGGGCTCTGTGGCATACACAGCTGCTCCCGTCATTGCTTAGCCCCCAGCCCCTCTAGGGTATGGCCTGAAGGACAGGACTCTAGGACAGTGTTGACAATCTCAGAGCCCAGCAGAGCCACACTCCTGACAGTGGCAGGCAGATACACAGGTGCCCCCGTGGGTCGGCTCATGCCCCTAGGACATCCAGCTGGGCCAGGTTAGGGTTCAAGGAGTTCCCAGCAATTGGAAGGCAAATAGTCGCATACAAAATGACAAAGAGTGTGTGACAGGCCCAGGGGATGGGCTCGGGCTACAAAAACCAGGCAGAAGAGCCAGAGGTTCCCTGCAAGGTTCTCAGAGGAGGTGGGCTTGGTGCAGCCTGTGCCCACAGTAAATTGGAAGGCCCAACAGCATCTCCTAAGACAGGGAGCTGTTACTGTCCTCGCTGTACACAAGAGGAAGCTGAGGCAGAGAAGCCTGCCTGCCCGAGGCCGCGGAGCTCACAAGCAACAGCCATGCCAGTGTGGCCCAGGAGGCCAGGGAAGTGGCAAGTGGGGAGACGCTGGGCTGGTACCTGGGAGGGGAGGCATGACCACTGAGAGCTGAGTGAGTCATGCGGTCTCTGCAAGGCTTACATGGAACATGACCCTCACACGGCCCAGTTTCCTCATCCGTTAAATGGGAGCCGTAATACTTGCCTCTAAGAGTCATTAATAGACAGGTCCACTTGCTCTGTGGCCAGGTCAGGGTTCTTACCTGCCCATCCCACAAGAGGGACATGCCCCCTCCTTTGTTTTAAGCCAGACCTGGGACTTGCTTTTTGGCCTGTGTTGCCTTGTGTGGGAGGGCCCACCACACCTCTCTCCAGATGAAGGTTTCTGCTGAACCCCACTGGTGGGGTGTTCACTGATTTGACAGCTGCCCTGTGCTGACCACACCAGGCCCCTCCTGCCCTACTCCCTTTTTCCTGGAGTCATGATTCCTCCCCGGGAGCCCTAGCTTCTCTCTTGTCTTTGTACATAGGGCAGCCCAGCCCAGCCGACCTCCTCTGCCCTCTTCCTGGCCAGGGCCAGGTTTCTTTGACTTCTAGGCAGAAAGTAGACCAGTTCCTCACTTCCTCTGTCTCTCCCTGTCCTAGTCCTTCCCATTCTCCCTTCCCTCCCCATCTTTGAGATAGGCTTTCTCTGTGTAACAGCTGTAGCTGTCCTGGAACTCTTTCTGTACACCAGGCTGGCCTCGAACTCACAGAGATTTGCCTGCCTCTGCCTCCCAAGTGCTGGGATTAAAGGTGTGCGCCACCACCACCCTGCCCTCAGCTTTTCGTCTATGAAATGCTCTGCCTCTGGTCTCCAGCCTTCTGAAGCAAACTTGCCATCAGTATTTCTTAGCATTGTCCAGTCTGTCCCCTTGCCCTGCCCATCCCATGTCTGTCTTGGCCTTATGGGAGATACTTTCTGGGGTTTTGTTTGTTTGTTTGTTTGTTTTGGTTTTTTTTTTGTTCTTAAACTAATTGTAAAGGAAAGCAATGTCATGCCATTGTGGGGCAGGGGGTGTAATGCAGTTGGCAGAGCGCTTGCTTCCCATCCATGAGGTTTACTTCCTAGCATCATGTAAACTGGGCTGCTGGTGCACACAACAGGGAAGACTGCGCAAGCCCAGAGACGGGTAGGCATAGCCCTTCAGGTGGTAGCCAGTGCCAAGGAGAAAGGAAGGCTGGCAGAGGGCCTAGGGCTCATCAACTGCAGAGACAACAGGAAACACAGCCCCTGCACCTGTAGGTCCATTTAGGGGAGAGCCATTGCATCCCCAACACCATGCCCCACATCCTGCCACAGCCTAGCTGTCCTGGTGAAAAGAGCTTTCACAGAGCCCACAGCCAGATGTGTGCCGGAGGCTTGCTCTCTAGGGCTGGGGCCCCGGCTGGCATCCCTCCTGCCCACCGCCCTTTCTTCTGACCCCTTCGTGGCCATCCTGATCATGTTGTCGACACCCTCTCCAACTGCACAGCCACGTGTGCAGGCAGCAGTTTCCAGAGGAGCCAGAGCCTGGCAGGTTCTCAGAGTGAAAAGTCGTCACACCTGTGCAGCAGCTGGCCCAGCATCCTGACAGTCATCTACTCCCCCCCCCTCCTCCTGACAATGCAGCTGGGTCCTAAGTCCTCTAGCTTGCCAGACGGCCTGAGATGAGTCATTTTCCACTTTTCTGATGCTCTTTCCTCATGCATATAGTGGAGATTAAATAGCCCCTGCCTCCCAGCCTTGGGGTTGGTCCAAGGACCATTTGTACAAGGTAGAGCTGGTGACCAGTGATCGGACATGGATAGTTCAGGCTGTTCCAAGTTAGCCCTCATGTGG